GAAAAATAGGTGTACTCTCTTGAATTGCCATTTTTCTGTCTCCATATATCAACCAGCCCTAAATTGTCCATCAAATCAAAGAAAACATTTGGTAATTTGACTTGAGTGACTTTAATATTTTTCTCAGAAGTTCTGTCCAGTTATGGGGAGATCACTTCATTCCAATCCCCCATCAAACACCAATTTTCATAAGCGAAACCTATTAGTTTCTCCATAAGTCCTTTATGGAACTATGGTTTGTCCTCATTTGGGCATAAATTCCCAGTATCAAAGTCTTAGTCCCATGCAAATTAACTTCCGCCCCAACAAAACTACCAAGCTCATCAGTCAATACAAGTTCTGGTTTTAGTTGGGTATTTATATACAAAACAACTCTATTTTTTTTTTGTCCTGCTGAAATAAATTCTTCACCCAAATTTTTATAAATCAAATATTTTGTGTCTTTTGTGCCTCTTGTGGGCAAATTATATTTTGTTTTAATTTTTGCAATTAATAAAATATATTTTTTCTTTTTTGAGGAGCATTTGCTCCATTTATATTCCATGTTAAGTATTTGTCATCCATAATCAATCCAAAAATTTAGAAAAGTCAATACCTGAAGTGCCTAGTTCAGTATCATCCCTTTCAGTTTCCTGTTGCATCTGTTGAAGTTTTTGTGTAATCTCATCTGATACCTCCATTTGAATTTCCCCCAATTCCTCTTTAAATTTTTCTAGAAATTCCCTTACCTTCTGGACAGAATTCAGTTTAAAAGTAAAAAGCATCTCTTTTTCTATGTAGGGCTCTAATCTGTATTGAATAATACTAAGCATTATTATGCTAGCATGTGAAATTAAATTACACACAAGTGAATTGTCTTGCCACATTGCTTTTATCTTCAACCTATCAGTGTAATTGAGGAGCTGAAATTATAATTATTTGACATTTTAAATTTCAGAGTTTTTGGATCCTGGTTATATATAAATATAAATAAATATAGCTGATAGCTTTATAACTGAAGATCTTTAGTAGAATTAACTATTTTGTAAGCTATTAATACCATGCTAGCAAGTCATTATTACTTATTTCCTCAAATGTTGTGTGGTATTTTCCTTGGAAAATAGTGACTTTTCCTTTTTTTCAGTTTGGCTATTAAAATAGATGTAAAGATTGATCATGTATTACTATCTTTCTCAGCTTGGCATTTTCTTTTAGAGTTATTTTATCTATGTCAACAGTAAAATAGTTGAGGTAGGAGGGTGGATGAAACAGAAAACTTGTTTAATTTTAATTTAATTTAGCACATTCTGAGTCAGCTGTGTTGTAATGGAACAAAACTGAAAAATGTTCAAGTATTCTAGCCATACATATTGAAATTAGATATGAATCCACTGACCTTTTGTTTTTCACTCCAGGATCAAAAGTAGGTTAGTTTTCACACTGAATGCTATTAGCCAACCCACTTGCAGAAAGATTGGCAAAAGGGATGTTAAAAAAGTTTGAAAACACACAGTCACACATCTCAGAAAGTTTTATCTGACAGAACAATGAACTTTCTGTTCATATCCTGGGCAGAGAGTGAATCCTTTAACAATTTAAAAGGTAAAGGTTTTTAGCACCTGTCAACTTGAATGTTTTGAACCAGTAAAGCAGGCACTATTGCACTTCCATTGCTAGGCTATGGGATTCATTTAAATGTTTCCAATATTATAAAGGGGTGGCTATGTAGACTCCAGAAAGTTAGGTTAGCGTGCTTAACTGCTGAGACGTGTTACAATAGAAAAATCAAAGAAACCGACACCATCCACTCCTGTTGCTACTGCTACTATTATGTTAGATTCTGCCAATGCTATTAGCGTTTATAGCTCCCCAGCAAAACAACAACAAAACTGGCCATTGCTGTATACATTGTCAGCAACTAAATATAGCATGGAGCACTTGAAACAGTGCTGCATAAAATGGTTCCAAGTACAGAATGAAACACCATTTAGTCCTATTCTTGAAATGTAAGAGTCCTGTTTTGAGTAAGGAACACTCAAAATGGTTTTCATTTAACTATTTTGCATACCCATGTTTTACAGTGAGGAGTAGGGAACTTCTAAAATACCTGCAGCTGGCTTGGCCTTACCTTTTAGAGCTACAATCTGAAAGGTTATCTGCTACCTTTCTGCAAGTTGTTCCTTTAAAGCAGAGGGCCTTAATGTATTTAGTAGTGATGATGCAAAGCATGAGGAGTTCATGCATGTGACTGGGGAGTGGTCTTTTCATGGGGTAAGTTTTTTATAAATGGCAAACGTTTATTTTAAGGGTGCACACAGCAGTTTTTATGTATCCCCCTTCTTAAAACACAGAAATCCTACAGCTAATTTTTAATAATGGGGTTCTGAGGGACCATGGATTTCATCTAACTGCTCTGAATAAATTTATAATAATAGTTATATTAGGTGTACTATAGAGGTGGTCCTTGGGTTACAACCACTTGTTGAGCAATCATTCAAAGTTACAAAGGCACTCAACGAGTGCTACTTAGGACAGGTCCTCGAACTTCCAGCCATTGCCGCATAATGAAACATTAAGCCCCAAATGATTGGTTTCACTTTCACAGTAGGACTTTGTTTTCTTCTCTTCATTCATTGCTTTCAGTCACTCATTTTGCACTCCCAAGTGTCTGCTGCAGATTTTGGAGGTGGGGAGGCATATTTTCTAGATATATTGAATTGTAGATAATGGATGATTAAAACAATATTCTATTGTAGGAGACGTTGAGAAAAAATACTGCTTAGGTGTGAGTCCACTGTGTGATCGACAGACAGAAACTATTGCCAACATCCAGATTGGTAACTACTGATTTATGTGGAAAATTGTCATAATTTTTATTAATATATAATATAGAGGAGCTAGAAATGAGCTGTATGAATAATTTAAAATGTCTTTGGCAGGTTACAAACAAGCTTTTTTTTCTGTTTTGCAATGTCTCAATGGTGCTTGAGTTATGCTCATTGATTTAAAAAGTTTCTATTTTCATGAAACAGGATTTCTTTTTTATCTAGCACCCATATTGTTTACCTGAAATAATGTTAAATTGCTTTTTGAAGTGAGCTCAAGATTTCAGTTTAATTCTGATTTGATACATTTTTATAGTGAATTTTTAAATTTATAAATAAGAAAACTTGTGTTTGCAAGTAACAGTTCAGCTAAAATTAAACATAATTTCTTAGTTAAGACATGACATTCAAGTTTTGATTTGACCATCAAGAATGTGATATAGGTTTGCATGCTCCTTCCTTTTGGGTATCCTGAGCTTCCTGGTTTAAATTAATCATAATGTGCTACAATGCCCAAGTATGGCATACTGTAATACATACTGTAATTATATTTAAATTCCAACCCTAAATTGGAAACTTCCTTCTAGCTACATAGTTGGAGAAGTACTGATATTTGCAAGTAATATTTGACTGTTTGCATCTTAAAAGCAGACTGTCCACAAGAACAGCAGAGCTATAATGGATGAAACCAACGGCTTACCTGATGCAGCATTCTGTTCCTGTAGTGGCCAGCCGGATGGATGCCTTAGGGAAGCCCATAAGCAGAATACGAATGCCATTTCACCCTCCTGCTTGAGTACTTGAGAGCTGCTGCTGAGGGGCATGATATAATGCCTTTGATCTTGTGCTAGACCTTTTGGGAAGAGCCACATCACTGCTCTGCTTTACTATAAATATTGGGTGCGCCTATTGATCTGAATATATGCAATCCTGTGCCTTGTTCTGTATGGCATATCAGAACATAAAGTAAAACTAAATTCATAGCCAGAATGATAAACTGTTTCTCAAGGATGATATAGTTTTATTTACAAATATATTTTATTAAGTATATACATTTCCTACGCTTAGAGCAATATGCAGATGCTATATAATACAATAAAAGCCATGAAAATAAATTTCGTATTGAAATATCCTTAAAATGCACAGGGCTGTGGTTTTTTTTGTTTTGTTTTTGGCGTTCGCATTGTAACTTATTTCTTCTTTCTAGGGTTTATGACCTATTTGGTGGAACCATTATTTGCGGAATGGGCTCGTTTTTCAAACACCAAGCTGTCTCAAACCATGCTTGGTCACCTGGGACTGAATAAAGCTAGTTGGAAAGGTATGCAGAGAGGACAGTCTAGCAGCGGTGATGATACTGATCCTGCATTTGAGGAGACAGACTCTGATGTGGTGCCTCAGGAACAGCGATTATCCTGACCCCAGGACCTGCTTAACAAACTGCCTCTTGCTTGGTATCTACAGACCAGCGTTTGAGGACAAATTCTGCCTGACTGCCAAGGTTTCAGTGTAGACAATGCCAGCATTATTTATTTCCAATTGTTTCCTTTGAGGAATCAGTTGAAACCGGTTTTCAGTTACAAGACCTGAACACAGAGCAATATGCATATGCCTCGGTTGGCTTCTGCGTGGAACCTTGAATATGCAACCCCGAGAAGTATATGAGTCTTGACTGGGAAAGTTCAAGATTTGTTGTTATGTGCCACATTGTTTTTTTTTTTTTTAGAGGAGATTTGACATAAGGCCTTCAAAACTGCCACATGACATGGATGGTTCCCTTCTCTTGGAATTGAGCAAGACTCCATTCAATCCTTGTCCAAAATGTGGAAATGTGAAGCGCCCATACTTGGCTGCCTCGGGCAAGAACTGATGTTTACAAACAGACTTGGAAACTGTAGATTCAAAACTAACCTTTCTGCATGGCTGTGAAGGAACCACTGTTTTTTTTAGATTATCAAATCTCAAATTGCAGCTCATTTTTCTCTTAGTAAGAGAAGTCTGCTGTGTGTTACAAGTTTGGCTGTGCATTGAGAATTGAACAGTTAACATAAAGCACAGCCATGTTTTACTCCAGAGTATGGGAATGCAATATAGCAAGCAGAAATACTTCTGAATTTTGGGAAGGGAGGTGGGATAGAGGAGAGGAAGAACTCCAAATTATGTTAAGACTCTACAGTGAAAACATTTGCATGTTGTTTTTGCTATTGTACACTTGAACTGCACATGCAAGAAAAAAGGTGGAATGACTACCAGAAACAGCTCAGGGTATTGCCAGTCTGGAATAAAGTGGGATGGAAAGCATGTCCTTCATAACAAGGGTACAAAATGCCCCTTACGCTGCAGTGTGTGTGTGAGAGAGAGAGAGAGAGAGTGGGAGAGTGAGTGTGAATATGAGCGAATGAGTACATGGTGGGAGGGATCGGGAAAGAAGGGGAAGATGGAAAGGAATTAAAAGGCATTTTTTTTTAATTTATTCTTTTTAGAATGTGATATTTTCATGAGCAGCCACAGGGGGGGAACTGATAGGTTGTTACAGCTGCCTTAAACTATGCACAAAGCTAAGTGACCAAATTTTGTTGATTGAAAAAGTGCATTGTTTACTTATTCCCTCCCTCTACTGAAATGTTACCCATTCTGGGTTTTTTGATGTGAAAAGGAGAAATGTTTTTAAGGACAAATTTTAAGGACTAATTTTTAATCTTCAAGCATTCCTTTTTTTGTAATTTTTAAGTTTTAAGTACTGTAAGCACAACTGTAATCTATTTTGAGAAACTGGTGCTTTATTTTTGTTCATTTGTATTTTCCTTGTTTTTACTGTAAAGACTGTTTTGTTCTGTTTACAGTTTGCAACAGCCATTTTTGGGAGAGAGCTTCAGCGTAAAGCCATTTGTTAAAGGCTTTGCCATCCTCATGTTAATGTGCCTGTTGCTGTTAATCTTTGATTAATAATAAAAACTTTTCACATTATTTCCTGAGTCTAGCTTGAAAGGTGGAGAAATAGTTATCACTAATCAAATAATTTCTCTGTTGGTGACTTTAGACTCTTCTTGTTTTGTAGAGGTTTTCTTTGTGGTCCCTGAGCAGCAGATATAACAGCACTTAAACCAGAATGCTCTAAAGCTGAGGTAAATTTTTAGTGGGAAGCATATCCTAGGGCACGTGTTCCTAGGTGTGGGTTCAGTTACCTCCTCGGTATCTTTTCAACTACTGAAGCAGTGTCAGGAGCTTTTTCTCTGATAAAACACAGTGCAGTATAGGTGTTTCAAGAGCTGGAATGGGAGTGGGGAGATCTAGGTTTTAGGCCACCATTAGCCACGGAAGCTCACTGGGTGATTTTGGGCCAGTCATTCTTTCTCAGCCCAAACTTCATCACAAGGTGGTTGTTGCAGGGAAATAAGTCTTGTATTGGAGTAAGTTATAAACCCATACTATAAAAAGCTACCAGCAGTTTGTCTTGAGGGTTTTTTTTTTCTTCATAGTCGTTTCCTTGTATTTTATTTTTCTAATTACAAATTAATTTCTATGGTATCTTTTGTAAACAGTTACAGACTTTGATTGGAAGATGAGGACATTACCAGTCATTTGACTCTTCTATGGGCTTATTGTGGGGAACATAAGGCTAAGGCAGCGAAGTAACTTTTTTGCAAATATATTAGAGTGGTGGCAAGATCCTGTTCACTGATGGGCATTACTGGTCTCTCCTACGCCTTAGAAAATAGTACACTGGCATTGCTTGCCCACACTTCATAAAACAGGCCCAGCAAAACTGAGGCTCTTCAGACAGATGCTAATGTGGGGAAAGACTGTTAATTGCAGGTCATTGTCCTCTTCATCAAATCCAGCCATAGTTATGTTTCTTACAAACTTAAAAAGCTTTTGCCATCAACAGCTGTGGTTCCACCTGCATTTCCAGACCATTTGTGAAACCTGCTGCTGTGCGCAAAACAAAACATCTGATTAGGAAGAGGGAATAAAAGCAGCATTAACTTTTCTTTGGTAAGTTCAACTTGGAGTGTCCCATAACTCCTATTGGCTGAGGTGCAGCCATCATCTATTCTCCCTGCTCTTCTTCATTTGATTCACTGCTTCACACTGCTGAAACTTTGGTGCTTTGATGGTCTCTGAAGGAGAGCTTATGGAGTCTTCAGTTGCATCCAAAGTCTGGCTTTCTTTTGTTCAGATTCTTATTCTTGGCACTATTTTAATCTCCACAACCTTTGGGCAGATTCCAAATCTTGTGACTCTAGATTTCTACTATGACTGCCATCTCATTAGCAGCTATCTCCTCTCTGGTGTTTTTAGGATTCTTACTTTTCTCTGTCTTGGTTACTGATCTTCACTCTGGGAACTGCTGTCAGCCATGACATGACGATTCTTTCAAGTTGTATCAGCCATCAGAGACAGTGCAGAAAATTTTGGGCTTGCTTGTGGTCTTGAGTATAACCTCAGCATTATTTAGCAGTCTTGGTGGGGATTCCATTCCCGCCTTTTAACGTCCTCTGTCTTCTGCCTTTGTCTGTTATAACTAATGGTACCATCTCTATCAATACCGCAGGATCTTTCAGAGACCCAACATCTATCCTGTCTTTTGGATATGGCAGACTATCAATCATAAATAGATAAATTTGCTTCAGAAACCACTTTTTTCCCTTCCAGTTGTCTAGATGATCCGGTGGGCCATTCTTTATCTGAATAAAATACAATCTATGCAGAGCAGATTTTTCACATATTTTAAGCATTAGGCTTTGAGGTTCACCAAGCTCCTTGATTATTGGATGATCTGGTGTTCAGAATTGCTAATTCTGATATGCTGATACCAGTAGCTATGCTACAGCTATAGACACCATTTAAATGTACAAAGCACACATGACAGAAATCAGACATCATGTCTCTGACTTCCCATTTTTTTTCAGCACCCCTCTTCAGACACCCTAATAGTATTCTTGGAAAGGGTAATGTTTCATACTGGTAAGCTAGAACTTAATGGAACATTTTTCTAACTTCATTGTATCTCTTTCTTACCATATTGCCTACCACTAGGCTTGTATGGTTTCTTGGGGAAATTGTTTTTTGTTTTATTTAATCAACTTACAGGCTGCCTCAAATGCAATTGCAACCTATGGATCAATTTACTAATTTAAATTTAATAAATTTACCAATTTACTAGAGAATAAGAAGGCAGTGGCTCACATTTCCTACTTTGGGACTACTAATTCAAACTCTCACTATTTCTGATGGATTGTTAGATCAAGACTAGTAACTTATTTGATTCTATGGCTATATCTCCCATCTAAATGGTGTTATCATTAGCCCAATCCATAGAAAATATTCTGTTCTTCACACTATAACACTAAATGTTGTACTAGGAATCTTTATATTTACATACTTTCAGCAGCACTAACAGCCATCATTCTAATGCAAGCTCACACATACAATTACTTGCCTACAGGGTACAGCACAACACATAAAATCCAACCATTTACATACTTGAATAAGTTCTTTTGCAGAGGTTTAAAGAACAGCACAAACCAGCAGCAGTAATTCATTACTATGCAGTTGAAAGCAGTCTTGTCTGATCATATGCTTAACTGCCACCTTCCTCCCACTGGTCTGCTCCAATATCATTCCATTTTGTCTAAACCCTTATTAGCAGGGGCACGATTCATCTCTGCTATTGTACATATCAGGCTGAACAGTTTGAAAATATATTTCATTCACAAATCATAATCAGCCTCAATTTGTCATTTAGAATGGTTGGAACATTTGAAACAGCTGTTCCAAGGTTAAAATATTTTGCATATCCCCTACTTATAAAAAAAACCTTTTCTATTCTAAAGAAAATCTGATTCAGGACTCATCAGTTTCAAGTTGTGTTTTTAAATTGATCCAGTCCTTTTAATCCATGAGTTTTGTTCAGATTTCATTTGCTTCAGATCTTCCTAGGTTCCATTGTGCTATACTCTTTGTTCATAAGGATCAAAAAATGACCACTAATATAATATGCAACATGCCATTTTTTTAATTTTGAACAGTGGTGGAAAAGATTAAAAATACTGGTGTATCTATTAAACATTAAAGTATCTGGGAGCAATTTTACATGACCAGATTAAAAACATTTTCATATCTGAACAAATTTCAAAATGAAAGCTTTTAAGCATTTAATAATATTTAGGTTAAATGTGCTCTTAATACCCACACAGATAAACCACTTTTCCATGTTACACTTTGAATCATTCAGCAATTTGCAAATACTACCCAAGATGACAAAATATTGACAAAATACTCTGTTCAAGTGAAGTATTTTTACCCAGCAGGAAACTTGGTCTGCAATTAGGTTTTTTTTTTCCAACATCAAATTGTTTTCTGACTTATTTGGCACTTGTTTATTATCTGCAGTTCAGTTCAATAGGAATTGGTGAGTAAGCCAGGTAAATGTCAGTACTACTCCAACTGCAAGTTACAAATACACATCTCATGAGAGAAAGTAACCCCTGGAATTGTCTTCATTTGAAGGTTTGTTAGGGAGGTCAACAAAGCTAATTAGATATTAAACTTCATTGGTAACTACTGATATGCTCATTATATGCACATTACTCCTAGAAGGAAGTCACAATTATAGTGTTTCATCCTATGTAAAAATACAGTTCAAGCTTTGGCTAGTTTCTTGCCTATAAACATACTTCCAATACAGCATTTGTTTTAAAGCAAAAAAAGATGCTCTACTGAGTACTAATTTGGCCAGTTTTGCTGAGTAATAACATTCTTAAGCCTTGTCTCCTTCACCATACATGAAGAAAAGTAAAATGCCTCCAGTGAAATCTGTATTTCAAGTTCAAAATGAGATGTCAATACAGGCTAAATATATCCTAACAGTATTCCAATTATTACACTGGAGCTATAATTTAAACTATCATTACATTCACACAGGTTTAAGAGTGACATTTATAACGTAATGTTAACCCAACACTGTATGCACATGAATACTAAAACTTGTGCTAGAACACAGTAGACTTTTCACGTTTAAACTGTCATTCATGGAAGCAAAGCACATAACTTAGGATTCTAAAATTGTAAAACTAATTCTCAAAACAGTTGAGACAGTCCTTTTGTAGTGAAGCATGATTTTTCTGCTTAACAATTTTCAATCAGATTCTTCATTTTTCCTGTGGGCTTCAGCAAGTGTGGCCCAAACTGTGAAAAGAAAAAGAAGGTATAAACTAAAAAAAAAAAATATTTTTCCCCTTCTTTGCAATGTTTGAATACAATAAGCTGGAATTTTTATTTATTCATCAATAAACTTATGCATACTACTAAACTTAAACATGCTTTAGATCAGTGGCTAGGGAATTCTGGGAGTTGAAATCCATACATCTTAAAGTTGCCACATTTGAAAAACACTGTTTTAGATTCTCCTATTAGTGGGAGGCACTAAACCAACCAGAACAAAAAAGGAAGCAAATGTCCCTGGCTTGTTGCTCCTTTAACTCAAGGAATGGAAAACCAATCTCAAATGCTGGAACTAATAATAAGTGAAGGCAGAAATATGGGTGGGGATTAGTTTGCCAATCCCTTGAGATGATCTCTGTCCTGAATTTATGTGACCTCTAATGTAGTGTAGCCTAAAGTGTGAACCTAGCCATGGTTGCTTGTAAACTATGGCTTACCCCTGACTTTAGTGCAACCAGATACTATGATTTGTTCAACACACCACAGCTTAGCACAACATACAAACTCAGCCACTGTTTGGACCAAGCACTTACCAGCTTTGTTTCAGAAGCTGAAATCTGTGTATCAGTTTCACTTGTACTGTCGCTACGGTATCGATAAGCAAATTTCTTTTTAAGAGCTTCAGCTATTAGTGCAGCAGGATCTGTTGGGTCAGCAATTTTCCTTACTGTGCTTTCATCTGGTCTTTAAAAGAATAAGATAAGGCTTTATGTCACAGTAGCTTCAAATGATGCAAACAGATGCCCCCTTTTCACCAATGTTTTGCTTACCTCTTTTTTAACTCTCCTACTTCACATGCCAGAAAAATCAGAGAAGTATCAGAATACCTCTTCAAATTCAGGCCTATCAGGTAAAACAGCTGGGCATAGCAAATATGTAGCAAACTATCATCCTTTTTCCTCAGTTTAAAAGTTGATGCAGACAGTCCTTGCTTAATGACTGCCCTGAAAAAGTAACTTTATGACTGGTCCTCACACTTAAGACTGTTGCAGCATCCCTGTGGTCATGTGATCAAGATTAGGGCATTTCACAACCAGCAGGCATTTACAGTCACATGATTGGCATTTACATGCTTCACAGCTGGCTTCTGACAAGCAGAGTCAATGGAGATGCCAGTAGTGAAATTGCAAGTTGGAGTCATGTGATGCCTTGCTTAACGACCATGGTGATTTGCTTAACAACTGCAGAGACATTGTAAACCTGCCATGGTCACATGTCTTGCTTAATGACCGTGTTGCTTAGCAATGGGGTCGCCATCCCAATTCTGGTCGTTAAGTGAGGATTACCTCACTTTATCCTTTAAAATGACAAGCTACTCTGAAATCCAAATGGTGAACTGTGATGCATTCGTTTGCAGGAAGCTAGTTTAGTCATCTGGATCAAGCAAGCAAATGATTATGCTCATCTCCATCTATACTCAGCTATAATCAAAATACTGCACTTCTTCCCTGCAACCCTTTCTCTAATAAGTAAAGGGAAAAACGTACCTTTTCACTGAGCGCAGCTTTACATTGTTCATGTCTTTGAGGATATCTAGCATATTTGGCATTTCAAGCTTCTTTGGATCACTATCTATCAAAGTCTTGCCAGAATTTATTCTTTTTCCTTTGCGTTCTTTAATAAGGTCAATGGCAGATATACTTTGCTGGAGTGGTGGTGGTGGTGGAGGCAGGGGGGGTGGCGGTGGTGGCGGCGGGACAGAAAGGGATGCAGGAGAACTTACTCCAGCTGTAAGAACAAAGTACATTTAAACATGCTACAAATATCTTTAATACACACAAACTCTTGTTTCAAAAATTTACCTACTATTGTGTTTATGAAATAGAGTAACACCGTACTAGATTAATGTCATGTACTGCTACTATATTCTCCCTCTGTCCTTGACAGTTTCTGTTCTAATGCAAAATATAATGAAAAAGGTGATATTCCTTTTAATGAATACATAGCTATGAAACAGTATACTGACCTCAGCATTGAAGCAGCTTTCTAGTGTGTGGCATTTATTTATTACATTTCCATAGTGCTGGACTCAAAAAACGACACCTAACTGTTTACACATAAAACATGGTTTATTGTGTTTTTCTCTCTGTTTGCTGCTCAGAGTTGTAGGGTTTAAGATTGGCAGCTATATAAATTTGTTAACTAAATATAAAAACAATTTAAAAACACAAAACTATCATAAAACAATGGACAAAATTATAACCAATCAAAGGCCCTCAGGAACAGCTCTGTTATTAAGAGTTTTTGGAGGCCAAAGAGGGTGCCAGCCTAATCTCAAAAGGGAGGCTGTTCCATTATATAGGGGCTGCAAACTGAAAACCATTGGTCACGAGTTGTTGTCCCCTTCACTTCCCCTACATGGTGGACATTAAAGATACTGAGAGAATTTCACACTGAACAAATTGGTCAGATCACTTCTATATGGAAAAAATGGTACTTTAAGTACTTTGCTGCCAAAGCATATAAAGCTTTATAGGTAAAAAGAATCAGCACTTTGAATTGCACCTTGAAACTTACTAACCAGTGCAAGAATTGTAAAACAGATGTTTGCTTTGGTAGGAATTCCAGAGGAAGTGTCTTACATTCATATATAGAAACTGAGAGGACCAGGAAAGAGCTTCAAAACAGCAATGCTGAGAGAGACAGCTGCCTTGACACTCCAAACAATGGGTTTCGAGGCGTACTTAGGCTCACTGTATTTGAAGAGAACTGTCATCTTACCAAAAGATTATTAGGGCTGGCATTTTTTTACTTCCTAGTGTTTTCCCCATAGGTGCAGGGTCCACTTTTTTCCGGATCAAACGAATGCTGATCCATTGGTTGCAACAGGAATTGACCAACTGGCTTGTTGCCTGAGCCTGATGTTGTGGGCTGAGAGAGTGTGACCATCCCAAAGTGACCCAGCCAGCTTTCCAAGACAGGACTAGAACTCACAGTCTCCTGATTTCTAGCCTGGAGCCTTAACCATTAGACCAAACTGGCTTTTATTAGGGTTGGCATTTTCTGACTGCATAAAAGAGTATGTAATATTTGCAGCTGCATACAATGTTGCAGGCTCCAAGTCTATAATAATATTTAATGCCATAAATGGAAATCATTGCAAGTTAGCAAACAAAACTTTTCTATCTATCTATCTACCTACCTACCTACCTACCTATTTTAGTGCCTTTGAGTCAGCACTGACTCCTGGTGATTGCTTGGACTAGTCCCTGCAGTTTTCTTGATAAGATTTTGGAAGTGGTTTGCCATTGCCTGCTTCCTAGGGCTGAGAGAGAGTGACTGGCCCAAGGTCACCCAAATGGCTTTGAGTCTAAGGCAGGACTAGAACTCATGGCCTCTTGGTTTCTAGCCTGGTGCCTTAACACTACACTAAACTGGCTCTCTTACTTATATTCTTATCCTTCAGTATCATGCAGATTGCTAAGAAAAAAGTAACAAAGATATAGGAAAGCAAATAAATGTAATATTTAATATTTGTATACTTCTTCCCAGGAAAATACATTACCTCATTGTCAGGTAAAAGAAAAGCTGGAAACGCAGGCAAAAAATTAATCATTGCATGTGTGTCAACTGAAGCTTTCATAAAATTGTTTTTAGATATAAGAACAGTCACAAGGTAAGTCTCATTTTAAGAACTGCCAGTCAAAATCTCTATGGTTAGCAGAAGCTGGTGATACAAATCTCAACATCACCTTGACTCTGAAGTTTTTACAACAGTTTAACGTAGCCTTGCCCAATTTATTACCTCTTTCTAGTGCACCAGATTATACATTTCATCATGTGCACTCAGCAAAGTATGCTGGCTTAGAGTCATGGGTGCTGTCATCTACCACAACGGTAAAGCAACAGGTTGGGGAAGATAGGCTCAAGAATGTATGTACAGATGGATACAACAGAGAAGTATCCCATTTCAGATCTTTTATGTAAAGGTAAGAGGAAGACTATCACAATTAGTTTTCTGCAGATCAGCATTTATAATACCAATAATAGTTGCATCTAAGTCTGCAGTATTTTTCTGAATATAGGCATAACACTTGATTTATTAAAACTGAAAAAAGGACAACTTAATACCTGCTGCCAAATTCTGTTCTTGTAGGCTTACAATTTTGGCTATTTGTGCTCTTAAATTAGCAAGCTCATTTTCCAATGCATTTATTTTCTGCAACGCTTCATCGTTTGTGGCTACTGCAGTTTTGGAGTCTTCCTTTTCTTGAGATTTCTTGGGCAACAATTCTTCCGTACTTGAGTCTCTCCCTGAGTAGCCTTCACTTTTAAGGAATGGTTGGGATTTTGGCCAGCCTTCTGATCTATAATCAAGAAACAGTTTTAGGGTTTTTTCCCCCTGTAGCATGAATCCCTTGATAAAACATAAGGCAGCTAAGTTAAATTTCTGTTTCTTAAACCAAATAAATTATTCTGTCCAAATACAGAATGCCATCTTTGCCATTTTTTGAATTTAAGCTAAGACAGTGTTTACTATATCCCTGTAAACATCAGTAAAACTATATTCTGTTCTTTTGGAAAGAAGGTGGATGCAAAGGGTTCACTTTTGTTCCTTGTCCTTCAACAATGATAGGCTAGAAATCTAATGATATTTAGAAAAAAATATAAATTGTATTTTAATACTAAAATGCTTTCATGAACAGGTGGTTTATTTATTTATATTTATTTATCATATTTATATAGCCACCCATCTCACACAAAGTGACTCTGGGCGGCGTACAACAATGAAAAAGAATAAATACATAGAAACAATTCCAAATAAAAAACTATAAAGGCACACAAAACAGGAGGGGATAAAATTAATAAGGGAGCCATCGCAAAAATCTCCCTGCTCCCTTGGGACCCCCAGGCCCGATCACTAGGCCAGGTCTTGAGGGACTTGCGGAATGTTAAGAGGGATGGAGCTAATCTCACTTCTAGGGGGAGAAGATTCCACAAGGCGGGCACCATGGCAGAGAAGGCCTGCCTCCTGGGAGCTGCAAAATGCAATTCTCTGGCAGACGGGACCCACAGCATGCCTTCTCTGCCAGACCTGATGGGATGGGCAGATGTGATCAGAGAAACGCAGTTTAGATATTAAACACAACCCATGGCTGTGTTTGATATCGTCTTTTCAATTACTCTAGCTGCAAACACTATACAAACATTCATCCACACAGATATCATTAATTAATCTAATGACATTTGTAACAGTTTTTCTTTTAATGTCTAAATTGTATTATAAGTCATTTCCCTGGTCTGTGTGGGTTTTTAAAGATGTCTTATACTCGGATGATTAAAATATCATAAGACATTTTTTTAATAATTTGCTTTGCAGACTGCTGTCTGGTTTCTCCTATCTTCATAACTGCAGCAACTGCTAAAGTCCCTAAAGATCCTGTGTAGATAGTATTCCCTGCTGCACTAGAACTGCTGTCACAGTCAAGAATCTTTTCCTTTCAAGGGCTTCCACTGTACATGTCCTCACACAAGCCTATTTCACAGTGTCTAAGTCAGAATAGGAGAAAATGAAATAGCATTGTATCAGTGCTTTCACTGTCACATTTCCCTTGCTTTGCTATTTGTAAAACAGGTTGTAAACCTCTTTGGATAGGGACCTATTTAATGTCTTTTTAAAACATCCTCTACAGTAATAATAATGAAATGCACTGGTTTAGTATTTAGTATATTTAGTACCCATTCTAGGCATTCCTCACTTCTATATGAACTCAAAAACATTTATTTTTTTTTGCATTAAGAGCCTGCCTCCTCCCATTTTAAATTTGCAATGCAATAGAGGCCAAGATGCTTTGTATGGACACATACCAATTTTCAATCAGATATGATCCAAAATATACTGTAGATTATGTACACATTTATGGTGTTGAAACATCACAAGCATCCTTGTCATTTTCTCTACAGCTGCCACTTAACAGAACAATAATATAATAAGCATAGTTTAGCTGCGCAATAGTGAACTTATCCTGATATGATACCCCCATTTCTTCATCCCATAATGTGTCACAGTTCCAAAGGCAATTCTTTGAGCTAAAGCCAGATTATTAAAAAACTAGCCAATACATAAATTTACATATTGCCAATACTGGAGTATCAACAGAATATTTTTCCCCATCCCTTTATGTACAAAAAGGCAACAAAGGCCATCTTTATGCCAAAGCCAGTTGAAACCCAGACTGGAAAGGATCTAGATAATTCATTTCTTTTATAAGTTCTTAGAGTTGCAGTACCACTATCTACATAATCGCTCTGGCTAAAATAATACTGGACATCTATTTGTTTTCTACTCTCCAGACGTTTTGGTACTGAAACAGGAAAAGATTATAAAAGGTAAGTGCTTATATAAACATAAAGTTATGGTATAAACAGAAAGGCTAGAATATTTAATACTTTAAAAACAATCCCTAAAGCTTGTTAAGATTTTCTTCCTTGATTAATAATATTGGCCAGTTTTCATGTTATCGGAAAACCTGATCTTCAAACTGTAACTTTCATAGAAGTTGGTTACTGACCTTAGTCAACAGGTTGTCTAGCCAAAACTTAAAGAACCAGTAATAGAGGATGAGCTTTGAGAAACATACCGGAACCGTGTAAAGACTTCATCTCCTTCATCATCATCTTCAGCAACCCATCCCACATCTACAAGGGAGACTACTGCGTCTTCTTTTAGTTGGTTAGATTGAATGCCTTCTGCAGGTTGAGAAGTAAGCTAGATTGATTGGATAATGTTATGTGTTAGAGCAACTGCCTGGATCCGTCTGACACTGCTACGAAAGTAACAGGAAGATAAAATACATAGTCCTATTATAATAAATGGGAGGGATAACAAGTTTACACCAGAGTTAAAACACTAGTGTCTTTTCATTTGAGCAAGGTTTCAAATTTAGTACCAATCCAATCTAAGAAATCTAAAGAATGACTTACAGCATTAGAATTTCCACTGCTGTTTCCTGATGCATGGCATGACACACAAATTGGGTACTAAGTAAGAAATATCTAGCTGCAGGTTAGGAAATTTGCATACACTAATAAAGTTACATAAGTGAATAATCTGATTAATTTCAAACTATTTCTCATACATATTACATTATATTTGGGTGAGAAATAAAAAGGCAGAAATTAGTTTCAGAGATAGAAACTCTAAATCCTACACTAATGTGTTGCATAAGTGTTAATTCTAGTGCCAAATGATACCTATTTCCAGATTTGCCAGCACAGCTAAGGAAGCATCAAAAGTACTTAGAGAGCAAGAAATACTTTCTAGAAATTGTTGAAGTTAAAATTCTCAATAAGGTTAGCTCTACAGAAAATCAAGCCTAGATTTGCTATTATACAGTCTTCAGCGAGAGTGTTATCACTGTGAGTATCCCCTGGCCAATACTGGATTATTCTGATATAATTTCCAGAATAAAAGCAAATCACCATGTCTTTTAACAGTTTAACACTTTATTCAGAGATCATTTCATGGTCACGTTAAACTAGAACTTTTATATACTGAAGTATTATAAATGGATCAGAGCTGCTTGCTTATTTAACATTTCAGACTTCACTTGCTTTTTTGCAGAGATATGCCATAGCACAAACTCAAATTTGCTTTCTGTCAGCCCCTTCATCTAGACAGGCAACTAAGCTCAAGCCCTGTAAAAAGATTAAACTTGGGGCACCACAGCAAGTACCCAAATTTCCCATCCACATTTAAACTATCTAGCTAACTATATTAATTAATTATCATATGCCCTATTAAAATAGTAATCCTAAGCATGCTTGCCTTGAAGAAAAGTGTAATTTTTCAGATTATGCTGATAATGGCTGTGTCACTGCCACTAAAATCTTTAGCTTGCTTTCTGTGCACAAGAAGAAAATAAGGAGTATAGAAGTTAATTAAGATTCTTAACAATCAGATTTGCCTATAAGTATACATCAATAGTTAAACTGAACTTTAATCAAAAAAGAAGGCCGACTTACAGTAGGTTCAGCACACGATCCTGTGATATAATAGCTAGAGAGCAAGAAAGGAAGAAAAAGGGAAAGAGAGAATGCTATAGAAAAGTTTAAAGAAAGCATGAAGATAGCCGTGGTATTATCAGTTTTTTAAAAAAAATATAAACAGCAGAGTTTATTCTGCCGCCATTCAGCAAACCATAGTACTTTTCAGCAGAGAACAGGGACAGAGAACTTTTTTGGTCTAAAAACTATTTTAGATCATCAAGCATGTAATAACTCAAGAATCTGCTTGTACTTTTCTATTCTTTTGGGCTGGTTTTAAGGTGAATTGGTGCCCACCATTAAACTTTCTTTCCTATCCCTGCATTAGAGCTTTGTAAACAACTGAATCTACCTTTTCTGGCAGAAGCAGCAGCAGCAGCAGCAGCAGCAGCAGCATGCATCTGCAGGCTAACATTACAATGAGCCTTCAGACAGCTAAAGCATGTTTCAAAGTGGAGTGTGAAATAACAGAGTAAGGATCTCTAACATTCGACATTTCTCTTTGGAGAATGAATTTGTGGAGCCATTACAGAGAAAAGTGATTATTAAAACATAAGATATTATTTTTTATTCTTTTATTCCATAAGCAATACTTTTGAATCAATTTCTGCCCAGGGTTTATTAAAAATATTCAGAACTCATTGACAGCTCAGACCAGTAATATCAAATATATATATAAATACAGGTAAATAACAAGGAAAGAGATATCCAATATTTTTTACACTAGAAAAAAAATGATGATCTTCATGTATCATACAAAATGTTTCTAAGCTGTTCAATTTGTTAACTGTAAATTAAACTTATGACCTTATCCTTGAATGCCTGTGCCACTCAAAAACAATTGTTAAAAGTCACAAGAGTCCTATAAAATTCAATGCTATTGCCATTTGAGTACAACAGAAATAAATCATGACTCATCCTCCCCAAAATATGTTCTCCCTCCAACTTTCAAATATAACTGATTAGTTTTACTATAAATCACAATTACCTAAGACAGTCCTTTCAGAACTCCTTACTTAGTATTGAAAAGAAAGTTCTATTTAAAATACATGGGATTGCCATCAGAAAATAAACCTAAAAATAAATACAAGCTGAAGTTGACCTTTGCATGATCAATGGTATTCATAGTTTGCCATTTTCAACATAATTACAAAATTATTTGTTTTTCAAAGTTCTTATATAAAAGATGGGACTTTTTTTTAAATCAGAAAATGCTACTATTTCCTATCTATTTTTAAATTTGTTGACATTCCTCCTGCATCAGTTTTGTTCTTAGATTTTTTACTTACATCTGAAATGAAAGTGGCTCCAATTCTATATGTCATCAGGTATCTTTGTTCTGTACATTTAATGTGTTTATATCATTCTAGCCTAACATTAAGAAGGAATCTGTATAAAATTGGAGATGAATCCTCCAGTTACTCTTATATTTAGTCTGATCCTTTCTAATACAGAACTGATTCACACAGCAGCTTCTAGATTGCTATCTTACCTGGGATTATTCTCACTGAAATCAATGGGACTTAGTTCTCAATAGGTAAGTATACAGCAAATATGTGCGCATCGGCAACACCATGTACCCAATTACTATTTTTTTCCAATTTTTTGGCCATAGTTTTATGCATTCCTGCCAGTTTCATGGCAATAATATAAATAGGAACCTGGGGATGTGGTGAAAAATGTCCAAGTAGACATTAACAGGAGGAAAACATCTAATTGCCATTTACTTAATCCACATGACAAGAGGGAAAAAACATTCACAGACGTAATTCCTTAAACTGTAGACAAAAGTTTGTTTGTTGTCCTGTTTCAACAATAATTTAAATTTAGAGCCAACCACTAGTTGCAAAAATTGCAATGAAAGACCATGCTGTTCTACAGCAAACAATTTACTACAAGTTAATGCAACTCACTCTACTACAGGAAGAATGCTGAGGCAACCTCCATCTTGGAATGACAGGCACAAGCATTTGCCTATACAGCTTTTGTCTTTGTAAGATTTATCGTACAAATATATCCTATAACCTAGTGATACTTTGCTTACTATTTCAAAATAAGTATTGTATCTAAAAGCTCCATACTTATCAAATGAGATCATGTGGATTTTTTTAGGCAGATGTTTACTTTTCTACCGACTGATGCCACTAAGGCTTTAAGTGGTAGTATCTTGTAGAATAAATTATTTTTGTAAAGTATATTTTACCCTGAAGATGCACAGTTTAAAGAACAACCAACAGATTCAGGAGAGTTTTAAAGAAATGATAGCTTGTCAAGTTAACAGTCTACTCAGAAGGAGAAGAATTTACATTAAAGTATCATATGACAGCAATTTAAATAAATAAATGTTCAGTGGAACTTGCAAATAAATTCCATAGTTTATCTGGAAAGCCTCATACTCCAGTTTTGTTGGCCTTAGGGGAAGATGGGCTGTAGAGATCAGAATAGTTTTTTTTTTAATTCAGGACACACAGGCTGCACTCCAAATGCTAATAAATGAGGCCAGAATATAACATTGATTTCACTTCATTTGCATTTACATGTAAATAAAATAAAATTTAATCTATATAATAATATCTAGTTAGATAATTAAGTTACCTCTGTTTCTGTCATATAAAGAAATTACAATTTAACAACAATTTTTGGAAATTTCTGGGATGTGTATTTGTTTTAGGAGCTGTATATGTGGCCCTGAAGCCCCTCTATTATAGTTTGTTAGGTGTCTGAATACTTTTCCATCCCCATTAATGCCTACTTCAACATTAATACATCCAAATAGCCAATCCATGTCATTTTCATTTAATTAAATTTTAATCTTTAATTAATAATTACTTTTTTGCCTAAAAATTTAATTTGGGGGTATCCCTACTTTTGCTTCCAAACTTACAGACAGTAACCCAGATCCACAGATATCACAGACCCAAATTTTGCGGTCTTAGTAGTTTCTGCAGATCAAAGCAAAAAAATTAAACATCTTACCTGAAATTGAACCCTTGGGCATTGTATCAGAGAAAGGTTGGAGCCAATTTTTCTTACAATACTTCTGTTTGGGCCATAAGATTTATTTGACCAAAGCAACTGACAAGAAAAAAAAATGTCTGTGTCGATATTGCTTTTCTTTGAAGTTTTACTTCACAATTAAATTAAGTAAACCCAGGAAAACTATCTATTTTTGAATAAATGTACATCAAACTGCATTGTACGCCTGTATATACAACCCCCCCCCAATTTAACATTTAGGATTAGTTTTGTTTTATTGTACACTGTCATGTCAGTGAGATGGGCAGCTATATAAATTTGATTAAAAAAATAAATTGACACAATATTCTGTCCAACAAAATTTGAATGGGCCCACAATCTCTCTCTCTTAAACAATAATTTTTTTTTCACTATATTTTGTAAGCAGAACTATTCCTCAAACACAAGCCAGAGAACTCTAGGTATACTTATATTCCAAAAAATCAATTATATTTAAGTATTAAACTGTGTGTTTATGTCCTTTTAATGTCACTGGAATTTATGCATGCCGTTCCCTATACACTATTCAGACTTTCAGCTTCAAATATTTCACTGTAATAATAGGTATACTTACTGATTCCATACTTAACCCAACTTGCATAAATATCACTCTAAATAGATGTTTAATCCAGCTGATCATCTAGAACAAGGTAAAGCTTCAGTAATTTGTAATTTGACCACCTCAGCTTGCTAAGATGCCAAAGCTCCATAGTCAGCCTGGAGAGAAGAAAAATACTTAAGCAGAATATATCAATATGCAACTGTTTCAAATTATTTGAGAAATTTTCTCAAATAAAATAATTACAAGAGCTATAGCTCTAGTATTTTTCACCAAAAGTAAATAAGCAGTATTTTTTAAATTATACACCACTTTTAATTAAAAAGTGCAAAGTTGTATTCTTCCAATATTCAAAGCAGGAAAAAAAGTTTGAAGAAAACAGCAACAAGAACAGAAGTAAGAATCAACTGTATAAAAAGAGCACAAACTTAAATTATAGTTATACAGGGTATACCACAAGGCAGACCCCACAGACCAATCACAATATGTTTTATAAACCTTTTTTTCAGAGAAAATGTTATTGTACTTAGGAATGTTCAAAGATCATGCTTCAAATGAGTAAGAAAGTGTTTAGAAGAAAATGGCAACCAATTCAACTATTTAATGTAATTTATATAATAAATTCTCTATAGGGCCTGACTTTTGGTACACCCTGCATATGAAGTATGATATGCCACTATTACAATGAATACCAACCAGCAACTGAAGCAATTATAAAGAACAACAATAAATGCCATACAATGACTGGGAATGATGGTTTTAACTAGTATAATTTTGAAAGTATACTGCATTAAAACATCTAGTATACTTTATATACTAGTATATTAATAATAATAATAATTTAATAATGTGAAAATTATGCCTGATGAAGCTTCTTCTGCAGTAAATATGCATATCCCTGAAAAACAAATTCCTTTGTACCCAGTTCTCATGAATAAGAACAATTTAGTCACGTGAACATAGTTATGATTATTTTGGAAACTAATCAAATTTCTGAGCCTTGTAATGGAAAAAATGCAGCTGAAGAGAAGGAAATGGAATTCAAGCAAAACTGCCACCATTAAAATATTGCACTATCATTACAAACTTGTTTTAGTTTATGGACAGTATTTTTTAGCAGAGAAAAAAATAGCTTCATGTGGAATGGCAGTTCCTAGTTTTAAGCTTTATTACTTATAGCATGTTTTAGAAGCTAATGTGGCTGTTCAGTTGTCAGTTTCTCACCTGGCAGCAGCAGTTCATAGCATATACTTCACAGCTGACATTTTAAAAATATTCCTTTAACCTGGAAGAAATAAAAATATAGTGTGTGTTCTTAAAAACAAGTATTGGTATTAGCTAAATTTATATTCTATCTTTGCTTCTGGAGATAAGGCAGAGTACATAGCACTTTCTCCTCCAAATTCTTTCTTATAACAGCAACCCTGTAATGGAGTGAGAGAGAATGACTAACCCCAAATCATCCAATGAGCTTCCATAGTTGGGGATTCTCTATTCTGCCCCAACATGTTAACCATAACACCATCCTGGCTCTCCTAAGGGCTGCTAACTGTGAGCTCCTACATGACCCAGACAAGAAAGAATAGGTTATCCCATTCCCAAACATAAATGTAATGATGCAGTAAATTCCAGGGTTCCTGTTTTTCGAGGCCAGAGCAGAGAGGGGCAAGGACCAGAGGAAGATACCTTTATAAACTATTTGTTGCCCCTTAACAAAGTAACTTGAAAACGAAGTGTGAATTCTCAGAGTTTTCTACTTTTTTCCCTTGTGATCAGATTTCGCTCCACCACCACATCACACTAAAAAGAACAAATTTATTACGATATAGAGTTATTCAAAGTAAATCTGTAATTTTTGCTACTCTAGAGGAATACTACTAGCTCTCTGGAAATAAGATTTCCAGCCCACCAAATTATGTAATCAAATTTCAGAGGCAAACCAGTGGAAGATAAAGGTGTAATTCTCAATGCTTTTTGGTAGATTTTTAGAAAGCATTTTCATCCACTTTAGGTGGCAGCACCTGGCTGACCTTAGCTGATCTAGAAAGTTAAGCAAGGTCAGACTTAAAAACTGCATAGATATACCTATAAAAGTCATCAGGTGTTAACACAATTTTCAGATAATTTTATTTTTTAAACTTTCCTTTAAATTTCACATAGATATTATTCCAAATCCTAGCCTCACTCAGTTTGATGATCTCAACACTGGCCATCAACATTATTCTGATCATTTTGTGATTCTGTGGAATCACAGAACACAGTAAGGCTTACTGAAGTCTGGATTAATACCTGAACCTAACTTACACTTTAAATATGAACCTGTGAACAAGGGACCAGGCCTATAAGACAGAATTGTCAGAACCTGAATCTAGCTAAAAGACTGCTTGGAGTCATGGTCTGAACCAAAGATTAAATTAAAACTTAAAGATTTAAATGGACTTTAAAGTCTTGTTTTGAAAACATATTCTGAACCAAAGACTGTTTTAAAGAATCACTATTGGGATTCTCCTTTCAACTAGAAGATGAAGAGCTGCAAAAATAAAAGTTGGTATATAAGTTAAGTTCACAGAAAGTTTGGTGAAAAATAAATCACAAAGATATTATAATCTGTAAGATGGTACTTTAAGAAATGAATACACCTGCAATTCCTCATTAATATAAGCAATTAAAATCATGAGATTTACCTATAGCACCCCCATCTGTCCACATAACATCCCATCTACCCACATGATTCAGAATCTCTTAGAGCTTCTCTTAGCTTTATAAGTTCCAATAACATTAAAACAAGAACTTACATTGCTTTTGCTAAAATGCATTATTTTGTATAATCATTTTGTAACAAATACAACCAAGCTATGTGAGAAAAGTAATGTACTACTCCTACGAAGAGAATCAAATTTTATTTGAATAAAATAAAGAAACAAATGTGATTTTTTCAGTAACGTTTTACACTGACATGATCAAGGACAATCAGCGAGTGTCAGCTATTTTGCTTCGGGTGCTATATTAAATTATTCAATTCTTTTATTTCTAATTTTTACTCTGCAAGGGGAGGGGTGGTGGTGGTTATGGGACTCTAGTTATAGAAGTCAGGTTGACTCAGACAATTTGATAAAGTTGTTTTTTTATGCTAAGGACAGAACATTTAGAGTGGATAATTTATTATCTGGTTTTTAATAGGAGATCCAGTTGTTTGAAAGACTATTCAGAAGCATAGGATCAAATAAATTAATAAAATGTTGGCCTAGCAATTCATTAATATAGTATCTGTTTTAATCAGTACACCCTAGAATCCAAAGTAGCAAGGACTAATTAAATTTGGAACTGACCAGAAATATTGTGACTAACTAGATCATGAGATATCAAGGCTAGGTCACTAAGAGATTTAAAAAAAAAAAAAAAGTTGCCCTTGAGTTGAGCTTAACTCCTAGTGACTAGATGGACATATGCATATGATTTTCTTGGCAGCAATATGGAAGTGGTTGGCCTCAGTTATCTTTTGAGGTTTTTGTTTATTTCTCAGAAGATTCTTTATAGGGTTTCTCTGGAATTTCTTTTTAGTCTCCTATCTGAATACTAATGAAGTCCAACCCTGCTTAATTTTTAGTGAGCTAGGTGCTGCCTAATTGTAGACCACTAAGAGATAGTGGTGTTTATAAAAATGCTGAGACAAACAAAGGGATTGCTGCTTGTACTCGGATGCTAGAAAATATGCTGCTACATTTCTTCCAGTTCTGGGTTTTCAACCTTTCTTCCAAGATGGAAAGGCAGACCATGTTATTCAATGAATTTCTTCAGTTGAGAGGAGAAAAAATGAAGAAGAAAATTGTTGTTTTTCCTTTCATAACTATCCTAAGCACTCTTGATACTTTCATATAAACCTGAAAACTAAATTTTGAGTGATAGATACGTTTGTTTATGCTTTTATATTTAAAATGCTTAAACAAGGGTTAGAATATAATATTTCCTGATTTAAATTAACATGCCTTTTATCATTAAAAGGCATTGATGGATTTATTAGTTATGAGTTTAATCAATTACACTCTAATTGCTTCATATGATTAATCATTTGATTAATCATTTATTATGCTTCTAATGCATGGATAATTTTGCATCATATTTTCCCTGTTATTTGGTGACTTAACAGTTTTTCTATTATTTCATGCATAATTTTAATGGCATCAAAAAGAAAAATAAATGCTGATTCTGGGATCGCCCTCCATCAGCTCACTAGAACAATCAAAGTTAAAGGGCATAAAAGAACTTTATAAGAAAATAGTGTGACATAACAATAGGATCACTGCCCCTTGCTTCCATGCCCAGTAGCACAGTACCAGACCGAAGAGACATCCTACAAAATTTTTGGGCCACTGATACAGTAAGTCAAATCAAATGTGTTGGCTATTTATTTATTTTTCAAATTTATATATGCCGCCCATCTCACTATACAAGTGACTCTAGGCGGCAATGTTCAGATCTGGCCTCTTTAACAATACTGA